TCTCAATCTCCAGTCAGCCAGGAATATTTGGAGAACGAATCAAGTACTTCTTTGACTCCCTCTGCCTGACTTGTCCAGCAGTTCATTGCTTGTTCCATCCAGCACTGCAGCCTGGGGCAAGTAGAACCCCCGGGGTTCTTCATCTTCTTGCCACTTGAATTGCTCCTTCTGACTGACAGTACCGTTGAGGATCAGTTAGTCTTCCTTCTGCTCCAAATCAAGTCAGCCTCCTGCCGCAGTGACACTGGGTGGTGACAGGCTGCTTTGCTGGTGCAGTTACTGCACCAAGTTGCCTGCTGAGGGAAGAATGGGACTGGACCCAGGCAGCCACACCACAGATTTCCATGGTTCTTTCCTGCACGTTGACAGGTGTAGGCGTCACTCTGTCAAAAGACTTGGTCAGTTTCCAGGGGACTGAAAGCGTTGGTTTTATAAATTTTGCCAGCTTTGTAATTACTTTTAGGGAAGTTTTGGCAACCTCCTCACTTCGGCCACAACTAAAATCCCACATCATAATGAGTCTTGAACTGTGTAAATATTTTATGCATTCAAAAAATAAATCAGGGGCTGGGGATTTAGCTCAGCGGCAAAAGCGCCTGCCTGGCAAGCGCAAGGTTGTGAGTTCAGTTCCTGGTACCGGAGAAAAACCAAAAAAATAAATAAATAAATAAATAAATCAGAAAGGATGAGAAAAAATCAAGCCTTAAAACCAATTACAAATTAATATATCTGTAACAAATTGATTACATAGAGAAGGCAATGCCACTAACTTTGGACACAGTGTACCCTTTTGATTGTGTACCCGTACAGTCAGAAAAACCACTTGGTTGACTCACTGTTAGTAGTGATACTTGAATAGTAATCTTGAAACTTGCTTATTAAAGGACAGAACAAATGAGTAAATGTACAGCCTCCAGTTTATAGAACAAGAACTTCCTGGATCTTGAGTTTGTCATCTCTAGAAAGACCTCCATTATCACCTCTCCAAATTGGCTTGAAAATGCAAATCAACTAATGTACATGACAGCAGATTATAAGCAGTGATATGCTATACTGGTGTCGGTTGTGCAGAATTTTTAATACGAAGCCAAAGCAGTTTTAACTGTTGAAATAAACTCCGTTCATCGAGGGCATTACCTATCTGGAGGTTGCCTTGGCGTTCCCATGATTTACAGTGCAGAATAATGTCACTGTTCTCCCTGAGTTTTCAGGGAAGGGGAGGAGTACTAAGTAAAGAGCCCTGTAAAATTGCGTTGGTTCCCATTTCTACGGAAATATGATTCAAGAGCAGATGTTTCCCCATGAGGCCCCCGGAACCTTTTAAATGTGTTAAAAGGCATTGTGGAGGTGTGTGAGAGAGCTCCTGACCACATTAGAAGCTTCTGTTTATAGAACACCACCTAGAAAGATGTGCATGTGATAGTGCTGCCGAATATCAGCACTACCAGCAAATGTATTCATGAGGGCTCCTGGCACTTAGCTTGCAAAGACCCAAACCCCTATAAAACCTGTCCTTGAACGTCCGAAACATTCCACAGGGTATCTACTGGCCTTTGGAGGGGGTACCTTCAGGGAGCAGAGTAAACCCCGCCCAGTCTCTGGACGTGATCAAGTCAGTCTCTTGGCACAGCTAGGAGGTAGTTCAGCTGGAAGATAGCTTTCTCCTCAGAAGTGTTATTTTTAGCTGTTTCCAAGGAGATGTTCAACATGATATTGATAATTGCATTAAGCCTCAATTTACATAATCTGTGGAGAGGGAAGCACCAGCTCTTTGCCAGTGTGTACTGCTCGCTGGATCACTGAGTTGTGATTCATCAGCCAGAACAGGAAGACCCCTTCCTTAGAGTGATTGATCTGAGAATGATCTCCTTGGTGAGGCGGTGTTCAGTCCTCATAATTGTAAAGAAACAGCTTTTCCCAGGATAGCTCTGATTAGTAAGTGCTTTGTAGAGCACTGGGGGTCTTATCTTTGCCTTTATGTTATATACTTCCCAAAGAATAATTGAGCTTCTCTGAACATTCTAGCAGGGCAGCCCCTCTGTACCCTTCTTTTTTTGGTACCGGGAATCGAACCCGTGACCTCACGCTGGCCAGGCAGGCGCTGTGCCGCTGAGCTATATCCCCAGCTCCTCTCTGTACCCTTGCTGGAAGGACAGCCCTCCTCTGTCTATGTGTCTGAGCACGTAGCTCAGGGAGCACACACGTGGAGTAGTCAGGAAGGAGAGGTGACAGCTGCCTAGCCAGCCAGATCCGCTAACTCAGCCTTGGCGATGAGTGGGGTAAACAGATGCTGCGGCCAGATCAGCCTCACACCCATGAGTGGTCTCTTTAAACGCGCACACATACACACATGCACACACACACACACACATACACACACTTCGAAAGAGCCTGCCTGATCTGGCAGTCTGAGTGACTCACTGAGCTCAGAACATTCCTGATGAGTTGGCTCATAAGAACAGATTATGGAACGGAGAAGGGCTTGAGATCAGAGTGACAGCAAAAGAAAGTGAAAGTTCTGAAAGCATTGACGTTAAGCTGTCCTGGCTTGACGGATTACTTTTCTCTAAAGAGTTTCTGTTTTAAAATAACTGTTAACTGCATTTCTCATGCAATTTTTCTTAGTCCCTCAGCAGGCGTCCCCTCTTCCCATCTGGAGAAACTCTTTTGTCTATTCATCTTATTGTCAGTAGCTCAGGTCCCTCACCCCAACCCATGTGACCTGTGGGTGGCTTACTGGGTGCTTCTGATCAAGACCTTGTGTCTACACCAAGTGAAGCAGAGCAGAGGATATGGGTAGAATTTATTTGCTATCATTGCAGCCCTGTCGTGGCCAGAATCTTTCACTGAAAGACACGTATGATTTCTGTGTCTCAACAGAGCTCTTGACAGAGCTGTCTTGAGTACTACTTGTCTTCTAACCCTATTCTTCAAGCTTCCCTTACCTGTGAATCTGCATCTAACATTTTTTTGCTTAAGATACTCTTACTTACATTCAAAACCCCTGACCACAAGGCCAGCCTGGGCTACAAAGTGAGCTCCAGGCCAGCCTGAACTGCACAGACCCTGTCTCAAAAAGACAAAACAACAGAAAAACCCTGACCAATGAAATAGAGAACATTACAATGCAGCCACCTCTCATGTGGATAACCCAAGATAAATATGACTGTAATGTTGTATTTTTTAACACTACAACCACCATTTTATTTTTTCTGTATTCCCTTAAATAGTCCTTCCTTGGATATATCTTAAAAATGAATTATTATTGTATATCTGGACTACATTAGCTACGACAAAATTTAGATTCATTTTATACTTACATTTCAGTTTGTTCAATAAGGTTCATCAAGTGCTTTGTTTTATACAGAGTATAATAACAAGGCTTTTAGGAAACACTCTGGTCTTATCAATAGCATATGAATAGATATTCTTCAGAGAAATAGTATTGTTACTTTGGTTCCTGACATTGAGAGCACCGGTTATTTAGGGTATAGGCCTTTCTTGTGCATCAAATAGCCTGATAACTGTATTTTTTCCCTTTGAACTCTTAATTAAATCAGAAGCTTCAGGAGTGAAGGGGGAGATTTTTGGAGCTTACCTGTTTTTAAAGTTCTGTCCAAAGGTGGGAGGCAGACCTGCAGACACTTCTGCCAGCCACATTGGTACGATGTTCTAGAAGAAAGCACACCCAGACTCATCAATGCTTGATGTGTGTTCAGCCTTCTTTTTTAGAGACAGGGTCCCCCTGTGTAGTTCAGGCTGCCTCAGCCTGCCCAGGTGCTAGGATTACAGGCATGCACCACCACACTCGGCTCATCTGTGTGAATTTCTGAGTCATTAGAAGACACTAAGCAAAGAGACTTATCTCAGTTTCTGTAAATTTCCCTGTCAGCCTGCTAACAGCATACTGCCCTGACCCTGTAAATGCAGCTCCCCCTCCCCCACACCTTCCCAACCTACTTCGTTTCATTTATGACACAAACCACACTTGTCACTAAGTATTAAATTACTTATTTTGTAGAAACATAGCACTACTTGTTGAGACCTTATTCACAGGTCACTCACTGTACTGGAAGCTTTACATACATTATCACAACCCATTAAATATTAAGACATAAAACTATTAAATATTCATTTTTGAAATGAAGAAACTAAGGCTGAGAATTTCCTTTGAAATTTGCAACCAGAAAGTAGTAGAGCCAGAATTGTAATTCTGAGTGCTGTACAAACCACAGGGAATGTTTGATTTCATTTTTAAGTAAATAGTAATTGAAACTGGATTGCCATTCCATATAAAAAAGATAGAAGCAGGAAGCAAAGGACATGCTAAAAAAAAATCTAGTTTTTATTTTGAACATCAAGAATGCAGTTGACAATTAGCTAGGTGGTCATGTGTTTTCTCTGTCACTGAGATGTAGGTAAAATTGGCCCCGTTCTCTAAAGTCAACTTACTGCATATGATGAGTAGACTGACTTGTATGTGAAGAAAACGTACTTTTTGTTCCCTTATAACACTGTGAGACATTACAGCAGTGCCTCAGCGCTTGCCGTTAATTGGTTCTGGGAGGCACCCATGGGTACCAAAATCAACAAGTACCAAACAAATTATTTTGACTGGAAAGGGTAGTGTGTAACTCGGTAGTCGACACTGACAAGTTCTAACTTACATGTCAAATGATGAGTACCAGGACAAGTTTTTGTGTCAAAATATGTCGAGTATCAGTCAGGTATGGTGATGCACAGCTGTAATCCCAGCACTCAGGAGGCTGAGGCAGGAGAATCGCTGTGAGTTCAAGGCCAGCTGGGCTACATAGTAAAACCCTGTCTCAAAATGACCAGGGCTAGGGATTTAGCTTAGCGGCACAGCGCCTGTCTGGCAAGCGCAAGGTCGTGAGTTCAATTCCCAGTACCGGGGGAAAAAAAAAAGTACCGAATTTGATGAGTTTCAAAGCAATGAAGTGCTAAGGTATAAATGTGTGTAATTCTCTGATCTCTTTCAGAAAAGAAGAGAAGAGAGCACTAAACTAAAGGAAGAAGGAAATGAGCAGTTTAAGAAAGGAGGTAAGAAAACTTTTAGCACCAGTGTCTGGTTGTCTCGATTCCTTATATTGTTTTAGCGTCTGTGAAAACATAGCAGGGAACATTTGGAAACAACTAGCAAACTTGAGCTCTTCCCAGTACACTGTTGCCTTGATACCTAAAATTTAGGGTTTTTTACCAGCTCCAAAGCATTCTCAATTGGCATTAATTGGTTACCATATGTCTCTTTGGCACAAGCATAGTTGCTTTGTTTTGTTTTTTTCTTTTATCAGTCCACAAATCGGGGGTGAAACTCTTCGGCTCCTGCTTTAGAAAACACTAACCTTCCTGTATTGCTGGAAACAAGTCCCCACTGCTCAAGTGCTCCAGTGCTGTGAAATGAGCATAGCCATCCCAGCCTAGGAAAGTACTTGTTTTTTCTTTGGCTGTGTTAAAGCTGTTAGCTTTTAGTTGTTATAACCAAATACTTGAGGCAGGCCAACCTTATAATGAAAAGAGTTTATTTAGCTCACAGCTCAGGAGTCTGAAAATGCAAGGAGCATAATGGTTCCTCTGGTGAGTGCCCCTTGACAGATGGAAGGAATATTGCAAGAGAAACTGAGCATTACATCTCAAAATAGGAAGCCAGATAGCTCCAGCATTATAATAACTGGCTCTCCTCAGCACTTACTCCAGGAGACACGTGTTCCCGTTTCAGAAAGGCACCAGTGACCTAAGGGCCTCCCACTAGAGCCCGAATCTTAGAGGTTCCACTTCCAAACAGCCCATACCGAAGACCTAGGCCCCTGACAATGAAACTTCACAGAAAGAAGCTACATTCTACCTTGTAATTGTAACAGATGCCTTAAGTAGAGAGGTGTTTTTCATATCCTTCTATATTTCCTGCATTTATTTAGGAATCAGTTGGGGTTCATCCCAGTAATTTGGAGAAGCTACTAATTTGATCTTACTAACAGCCTTCTGTCACATTTCAAAGTGTATATGCAGACCAGACGTGATGGCACACACCTATAATCCCAGCAATCAGGAGGCTGAGGCAGGAGGATTGTTGCAAGTTTGAGACCAGCCTGGGCTACAAAGTGAGCTCAAGGCCAGCCTGAACTGCATAGCAAGACCTTGTGTCAAAAAAAAAAAAGAAAAGAAAGGAAAAAGAAATCTTAGGAGTACTAACATCTTCCTCTAGGTATTTTTAGGTTCAAATTGTTTTTCTTGTATTTAGCAATCATCACTTTTTTTTTCTAATATAACTAATGGTTCTAATGGTGTGTTAGTATTAAATGTTTCAAACACAAGTGAATAGACAGTATTTTCTTACTATCCTGACTGTAATTGTGTATATAATAAGGAATATATAAATTGCTATGTCTTTTCTCTTTTAAGATCTTTAGATACCATTTTAGTCAGATTGACTCTATGAAAGCATCATAGTTTTAATGAAAATACGTACATACGGTTTTATCCCCCTCTGGGTGCCGGGTCTTGAACACAGGGCTTGCACACACCAGACAAGTGGTTTACCACCGAGCCACAGCCCTCGCCGTAGAATTTTGCTTCTTCATGCTGAGTCATGGAGCCCACATTGTAGCGTCTTTCATCTGTCCAGTTCCTTAACCCCTCTCAAAACTCCTTTCTTAACTGCTAACCCAGATGAAGGCTGAATGTCTAAGGCAGTGGGGGTGAACCCGTGGCACGCGTGCCACGGCCAGCAGTTTATTTTCACTGAGAGCTCTGAAAGGTTGGGCGTGCCGCTACTCCCAGGCATTGTGCGCTCTCCATGCCAGCCTGTTCAGCCCTCGTTTCTCACGTGCCCTGTGGGGCTGCACAAAGGAGTACTGGTTCTGTGGCGAGAAAAGAGGAGGAAAGGATTTGAAAGCGTTTGTCCTGAGAAGGGAGAGCTGTGCACCCTGAGAGTCTGTGGAACACAGTAGTATCGGAAGTAGAATACTGAGTGCTTGTTCTCTACTTTGCTGTCCTCAGATTACGTAGACGCCGAAAGCTCTTACACTCACGCCCTTCAGATGTGCCCGGCATGCTTCCAGAAAGACAGATCTATTCTGTTTTCAAATAGAGCTGCTGCAAGAATGAAACAGGTGAATCTCTGTCTGACCTTTTCTTTTTAAAAAGCACGTGATCTTTTTTTTTTTTGGTCTTTTTGAGGCAGGGTCTCACTATGCAGTTCGGGCTGGCCTGGAGCTCATTTTGTAGCCCAGGCTGGTCTTGAACTTGCAACAATCCTCCTCCCTCGGCCTCCCGAGTGCTGGGATTACAGGCGTGCACCACCATGCCCGGCTAAAAGCACATGATCTTGCAGTGTTTCCTAGTATAGTTCTCTCCAAAACCAACATAGGGGTTTAAAGTTTGTTTTTCTTTTCCTGTATGTGTATTTCCCTAATGCAAAGGATACAAGGAGAATAGAAGAATTCTGAACTACTGTTGACCTTTCTCTTTAAAGCAGTTGAGTGAATACTTGCATGGAAGTATCACATTAATAATATCAGCCCTGCAATCTCCCAAATGAGTGGACAGTGAAGTCTTAAATAAATGAGACAGTTGAAATGATTTTAGGGCTCTAAGAGGGTCCAACTCTCTTAAAACAGAATTCAAGATTCTCTGAGTTAAGACCCCAGACTTCCTGGACGGCCAGTATTTATTAGGTTTTCAAACAAAGGAGGGGAATACTGAAGAAAATGCAGAAATTTGGGCAGGACTTGGGATTCCCTTTAAGGACTTCTCCAAGTAATACTTTAAGTTAATTTAGGAGAACCATGTTATCTCCAGGAGGGCCTTCACTCCAGGAATGAGGTGCCTGCAGCTACAGTCTCCTTTTAGTTCATTGGGGTTGAGCCAGAAGCCCTCAGCTGTGGCCTTGTCTTGTCCTTTGAGGCCTCATGGCTTCACCCACCATTACAGGCCTCAGTAGGGACCAGTGACTCACAAGTAAACATGAAAAGCCAGTTGGTTAATACAAGTTCTGCTTAGGCTGGCCATGGTAGCGCATACCTGTAGCCTCAGCACTTGGGAGGCTAAGGCAGGAGGATCCTTGTGAGTTCCAGGCCAGCCTGGGCTACTTCATTTTTAGTGAGCTCAAGGCCAGTGTGAACTGCATAGCGAGACCCTGTCTCAAAAAGACAAAAAAAGAGTCCTGCTCAGAGCTGCTTCATCGTAGTAGTCTCCTTTGTGAAAGGAAGGCTGGCAAGTTTCCACTGAACTGGGGCAGGTTCATGAAGCATGGAGCCAAGTAGTACGTGTCCCAGAATAGCAGCAGCTGCTTATTGTAGGCTTCTGGAATTCTAGATAAAGACTCAGAGACACAGGGAAATACTGGTTAAAACTCTAGGCTTAAAGATAGCTGTTCCTAAAACTCTACTTCTCTCTGAAAATGTGAACGCTTGAGTGAAATATCCAGCAGTTAGAATGAAAACCCCTCTGGTTTTCTTATTCAGCCAATTTAATTAGTATGGTTATATATGAGTGAAGAAGGTATTTTTAAAGAAAGCACAGCCATTGTTTAGCCACCACTACCTATAACCAGAATAGCTCCCACCACTACCTATAACCAGATCTGTAGTGGGTAAGTTATTTAGCTAACATACATTTAAGTAGCCACAAAGCTGGCTTCAGCGAGGTGGAAATGAATGTTTTGGTTTGTTGGTTTGTTGGTTTGGATCAGGTGTTTACCATCACTGTCTTGATAGTACCTGAAATTCTCCAGTGCCTCTGCTGAAGTCAATTTGGGTGACCAAGTTTTCTTGTTACAAAGACCCAGTGCCTGAAGGCTTAGGCACACAAAAAAGGTTTTGTTTTTAGCTAGAACTTACATAATTGGATTTGGTCTCCAAGGTAAAGTGTTTCTGGAGTGTTTGATGTGGCAAGAGAAAAGAAATAATTTTATAGAATTTACTGACCAGCTGGACATGGTGATGCACGCCTGTAATACCAGCACTCAGAAGGCTGAGATAGGGGAATCGTTGTGATCAGTGTGGGCTACAAAGTGAGTTCAAGACCAGCCTGAACTGCATAGCGAGACCCTGTCTCAATGAGACAAAAAAAAATAAAAAGGAAGTTATAGACCAACCTTTTGTATTAGGAAAAATAAAACAATTATTTTAAGTCTGTTTTAAATTGTATTTCTGCCAGATGTGGCGGAATGGTGCATGCCTATAATCCCAGTGACTTGGGAGCCTGAGGCAGGAGGATTCAAATTAGAGGCTGACCTGGCAACTAATGGGACTGATCCTGCTTAAATTTCAAAAAGGGAGTTGGGGTCCGTGGTTCAGTAGTCGAGACCATTCACAAGGCCCTGGGTGCAATTCACTGGGGCTGGGGATTTAGCTCAGCGGCACAGCACCTGCCTGGCAAGCGCGAGGTCATGAGTTCGATTCCCAGTACCAGAAAAAACCAAAAACAAAAAAACAGTTCTCAGCACTGCAAAAAAAAAAATTTTTTTTAATATAGAAAACATCTGGGCTGGGTGTGGTAGTACATACCTGGAATCCCAGCACTTGGGAGGCTGAGGCAGGAGGATTGCCATGAGTTCTAGGCCATTCTGGCCTGCATAGTTCAAGTCCAGCCTAAACTACAAAGCAAGACGCTGTCTCACAAAACAAAACAATTAAAAGAAATTTTTAAAATTCTATTAATGTAGTCTATCAGTGATCAAAATTCACATCTAGCACTTTTTATACATAGCTGAAAAATTCTAATAATTTTGTATCTGTCCCTCCATCTAGCCACATTGTCCGACTGGACATTGATGCTGTAAAATGTGATCAAGGTACCTTCATCGTTAGAGGAAATGGCCCACTTGACTCCTGGGGCTTTGGGACTCTATGTCCACTATAGTCTAAGTTAGTGACACTTCTAGGCATGGCCTATCATTAAAGACTAGTTCTTTTGATATTTTGGGGGGACAGGGTCTCACTATGTATGCCAGGTTGGCCTCGAACTTTCGATCCTCTTGCCTCCTCCTCTTAAGTGTAGTGTGCACCTCCATGCCTGGCAACCAGTTACTGAGTTAGGAAAATGTGTGGTTTTGGTAGTCTTTTGTCTGCAAACTTGAGAACTCAAAAGAGCGTTGCTCTATTACTGTTTCCTGTATAAAGATAGCTTTGTTAGTGTGAGTTTTGGGTTTGTTTTCTTTTGCTTTTTGAGATAAGGTCACACTAATGTAGCGGGCTGGCCTTAAACTTACGTAACCCAGGCTGGCCTCAAACTCACAGTGATCCTCCTGCCTCAGCCTCTAGAGTGCTGGAATTACAGGTGCAGGCCGCCACAGCCAGCTTACTTTTTGGTTTTTAAATTGCACCTTTGATACTTCAAGATCTTAACACACTCAGGCTTCCAAGATTAGTACTCTGATGCAGTTGAAGGAGCATATTCTGTATTTTCCAAGGACATGATGGGTGAACTACTTAAGAAGTACAGTTTCAGAAAGACTGGTTTGCAAGTTCCGCATCCCTGACTGAATGCCACTCACCAGACTTTGTATTTTATATCTGAGGAGAGAAAGCAAACCTGAGTCAGAGCTGAGTTTCACCCCTGGGTTTATTAGCAAGCTATAGAAGAGCAGGCAAATCCCAAAAGAGTAGAGTATTTAAAAACAGAAAAGGAGGCCAAACACTGGTGCGTATCTGTAATCCCAGCCAACTCAGGAGTCTCAGGTAGGAGGATCACAAGTTTAAGCCTAGCTTGTGCAACTTAGAGACCCTGTCTCAAAATTTTAAAAATTTTTAAAGGGCTGGGGATGTATGTAGCTCAGTGCAAAGTCCCCAGACCAGTGTTGGGGAAGGGGAGCTTAAAGTGCTGTCTTTATTATGTACCTTGCCTTATATAGATTTTTCTGATGTCATGTGTTATGTACATTTTTATCTAGAGTGGTGTAGACAGGTACATGTATAAATAAATTATGGAGGGGCAATAAAAGCCTTAAGTTTTTTCATCCTTTCCTTTTGTAGACTAGCACTGTACACAGCAGACAGGACTGGGTCCCTTGAGGTGTTATAGTACACTGGGAGCCCTTGACAAAGCACTCTGTGAGAAAATGGCATTTCTTTATTTGAAGAGGCCAACAGATGAAAAGATGCACTACAACTGAGTAATAGCTTTTAGGGACACAAAAAAATATCGCCACAACAGGTGTGCACATAAGTTACTAAGATTTACCTATTCCTGCTTCAGAAACTGTGAAATTGCGAATCTTCACTTCACAGAAATCTGATAATTTGGAGAAATACTTACATAAAGTTATAGACTGTCTACTGCAGGGCTTCCTAGGGTTTTCATATGTGAGTTGGTATGGTGAACATTGGAAGACAAATAGTGTCTCCCAGATGACCTTGGAAAATTTGGGGTTTTGTTTTTTGTGGTAAAATACACATGACATAAAGTTGGCCACTTTAATCATTTTAAGGTACCCAGTTCCGTGGCATTAAGTACCTTCACAGAATTGAGCTTGTTGATACATGTGTGTCCCCAGCACTGAAGAGGCTCAGGCAGGAAGATCACAAGTTCAAGGCCAGCCTGGACAGTGTAGCAAGACCCCATGTGTATGTACCAGTTCACCAAGATGAATGTAATTATTATGTGCCACAAATACAGAAAAATCCTTTAAGAAAAAAACCAGGTGTGGTGCGGCACGCCTGTAATCCCAGCACTCAAGAGGCTGAGGCAGGAAGATTGTGAGTTTGAGACCAGCCTGAGCTACAAAGTGAGCTCAAGGCCAGCCTGAACTACATACCGAGACCCTGTCTCAAAAAAAAAAAAAAATTAGGTGACCGTCACTACCTTCTTAATTCCAGAACTTTTCATAGGCCTAAAAGATACCTTGAAGTTAATAAGTAATCACTCAGCATCCTGAAACTAGAATTGTTTTTGGTTGAATCCTGAAACAGAATTTAATGACTTTGCTCTCAAATATTCTGCAAAACATTCAGTATTTGCTACAGTAAGTTTATGGGAGTTGAGAACTTTTTTTTGAACTTATTTTGTGTAATGCAGAGAACTTCTAATTTGGAAAAATACTTCAGAGCTGAAGAGCTCTCACATGGCATTCGGCCCAGCTGTTCATGTTTCAGTTGAGAACCCGGGCCCTAGAGAGGGGCAGGGTGGCCCACAGCAAGCAGTAGGCAGTGCCCGGGCTGGGGCCGGACCTTAGTTCTGTGACACCCCATGTTCCTTCTGCTGTGCTGCGTTTGCACACCTAGCAAGCCCCATTAGGGAGGTGGGTTATTTGGTGAGTTGTTAGTATTTCTGTCTCATCAGTAGATAAGGTGATGTTCATGACCGAGACTACATGAAACCTATACTGTCTACTGTATGTGATTCCTGGAAGATTCTGTTATGTGTAATATAACAACTAGCCAAAGGGGAGTGTAATAATCCTTTTTTTTCTTTTTGTTTTGGTCTTTTTGAGACAGGGTCTTGCTGTGCAGTTCAGGCTGGGCTTGAGCTCACTTTGTAGCCCAGGCTGGCCTAGAACTCACAATGATTCTCCTGCTTCAGCCTCCCGAGTGCTGGGACTACAGGCATGCGCCACCGTGCTCGACGTTCCATTTCTTCATATATCAGTGGCTCTGTTTATTCATCACAAAGTTTTCTCATTGTCCACATTCTAACATAACAGGTCTTAAAAATGTAATAGGTCAGTTAGACAGTCCTCAAGGAAAAGAAGCTACTGGAATATTCATTACCAGGAGGCTTTTAGGTCCAGCATTAATTTTGGATTTTATGCACTTTTTTTGTGATTTCTTTGAAAAACATCCTGTATCTCCATGAACAATTACTAATGATCGTGTCAGTGCACCTTTGAGCCACTAAGATAAAGCTAGGGCAGTGCATCTTAATGTTTGTGTTTCCTTGTAGGACAAGAAGGAGATGGCCATCAGTGACTGCAGCAAAGGTACAGCTTCTTTTTTCTCGGTACCTGTGACATTCATGAGCATTATATCAGCTGCACAGATATGGGGCTTTCAGACAGGGGTGCACTGGAACTTGTGTATCCTTCTTTTGGGCCTTTCCAGTTCAGCATTTTCAGATGGCTGTATAGTAAGCATCTTAGAGTAAGCATATTTTTGAATGGATAGTTCAGCCAGTTTCTGTTGTGTTAGTAAATATGTGAAGAACAATTCAAAGTTATCTTTTGTTTGCTATATCTATTCTCTTTAATAAAGGATTACTCAGTGATTTTTGAGTTCGTAAAATGCCCTAAATTTTTTTTTTTTTTTTTTTGTCTTTTTGAGACAGGGTCTTGCTACGCAGTTCAGACTGGGCCTGAGCTCACTTTGTAGCCCAGGCTGGTCTTGAACTCACAATAATTCTCCTGCCTCAGCCTCCTGAGTGCTGGCATTACAGGCATGTGCCACCACATCCAGCAAAATGTACTAATTTTAATGTTTTAAAATGTATCAGTTTACAGCAGTAAAGGATCACCCACATCAAGATACTAAACAATAACCTTATCCATGAATGTCACCATCTCTTATATGTGAAATAGCTTGTAATTTCCTTCTGCTAGAAATGTTGCTCTCCATTTCTATGAGCTAAATAGTTTCTCTGTCCTTTAAACCCTTTTAACCATTGTATTATACAAGTGTGAGTACCTCAGATCAGAAATTGATTTTTTTTTTTTACTCAATTAGGGTTTTATTAGTTGGCAATTTAACCAGTTTATCAACATAATTCACCTCTCTCTGTCAGTATCTTTTGTGCCAATTTAATGTTTCCTTGGTATTTTTGTTTTATTACTTTTTATTGGTTTTTCACTCCTTTTCAGTTCCAGACACTTGGAATGTATATGTGCTATTTTTGTCCACAACTCAAGGACAAATGGCATGTGATCTACCGTCTGTGGCAGTAATTCATACTTTTCCCAATTTAGTAGATCAAACACAGTCACCCCTCTTTAACCATAGTTTTGGATTTTTTTTTTTTTTTTGGTCTTTTTGAGACAGGGTCTCACTATGCAGTTCAGGCTGGCCTTGAGCTTACTTTGTAGCCCAGACTGGTCTCAAACTCACGATCTTCCTGCCTCAGCCTCCCGAGTGCTGGTATTATAGACATGTACCACCAAAGCCAGCTAGAAATTTTCTTCTTACACTATTACATTATGAACTTACAGGGTTTTTTTAAGAAAACAAAATTGTACCACTTTCCAGTTTTGTCATATTAACATTTAGAATGTCTTTATTGTACTTGTCCACAGTGATGAAGCACTTTTAACACACATTTGGCTTAACATCTTTAGCTGGGCAGGGTGGCACAGGCCTGTAATCCCAGCACTGTGGAGGCTGAGGCAGGAGGATCACCATGAATTTGAGACCAGCCTGGGCTACACAGCAAGACCTTGTCTCAAAACAAACAAAATTATAATAATAATATTCATATTTAATATTACATGGCAAAATAAAACAGTATTTATTTGTCCAATTCATTGAATATTTGGCGTGTACCTTGACAGTTTAAAACTGCATAAACTACTTGGGCGTGGTGGCACATTCCTATAACCCCAGCACTCAGAAAGCTGAGGCAGGAAGATCTCTGCAAGTTTAAGGCCAGCCTGGGCTATGTAGTGGGTTCACGCCCAGCTTGAACTGCATAGCAAGACCCAGTCTCAATTAGAAAAGAAAAGAAAAGGAAAAGAATTGTGGGGTCCCAAAGCAATGGGAAGCTGGAGAGAAAAAGCTACAAAGAATGGCTTTCACCCCAGATAGCTCACTTGAGATGTTAGTAAGAATTGCCTCCTCAGTATTCTATAGCCATGATGAGGAGGAGGCCAAGGAGAGAAAACAAAGAGACCGAGAAAAAGCAGCTGCTTTTGCTGCATCACTAAGAGAAACAGATCCCAGGTCTGATTCCCGGGGCCCCAAGAAGAACTCGACAACTGCATTCATCTGCTACCACTGTTAAAAGCCAGGCCACCTCAAGAGGAACTGCCCTAAGAGGCCCCATGGGCCATGCCCTGGATGCAAAGGAGACCACTGGAGATCGGTCTGCCCTCTGAGGTGGAGGCCCCAGAGCTCAGACCCATGCTACCAGTTAGTCCAACAGGAATGAGAGGGCTTGGGGCATAGTCTGCCTTCTCCCTCTGGCCAGACCATCATCTCCATCGAGGAGTCCTGGGTAATCATGACTATGGAGGAACAAGAAAACAGCCTGTTGCTAGACACAGGTGCAAGTCTCTCGGTCCTTCTTTTCAATCCTGGCCTTCCTTCCAGCCATCATACCTCAGTGAAAGGAGTCACTGGTGAGGAGGTAATATGCTATTTTTGACAACCCTTAGGCTGTAACTACTTATTAGATCCTTCTTGCATATCTCTGTCTTCCTGAGAAATCACTTTGAAGATACCACCATGTATTACAGCAGCCATTGATATTTTCTTACGAATCTATCCATAACTGTGTAAAGTTTGTAATGTTCCTATCCTATTTCATAAATGGATGTATGTTTATTATTATGTGTTTCCAACAACAACCATTGAGAATAGTTAATGATTTTTCAATAGGTCACTCATGTATAGCTCTTATTTATTTTCTTTAGAAGCCACTTTGAAGATACCAAAGTATAGTACAACAACTCTTGATAATCTCCTACCTCTTTTGCCTCTAACTCACTATTATTTGTCTATTTGTTTTCCTGAGAAACTATTTTGTAGATAATAATATGTAAAACGATAACCATTGATAATTTCCTACCATTTTGTCTGTAATTTGCTAAGTCCCCCCTATTATTATGTTATCCTTCTTTTACTCTTTAAAATAAAAAATAAAATAAAAAAAAGAAAAGAAAAGAAAAAGAAAACTGCATATACTGAAAATTTTAGATGTATTTTACAAGTCTATTTTTGCATTTAGTCTTACTACCCTACATGTAGCAATTTTAGACTTAATGCTCCTTAACTAATTTTAGTGATTATCTTCAAACCTTTTGTGTGATTGTCTCCTTACTCATTATTTTTTCTGTTGGCTGCAGTAAATCATTGAGCAGATTCTTCAGAGAAAGTTCTTGGTCAGTATACTTAACCCCATGGTGTCTGAGAATGTTTTCCAGCTGCCTCCCTATAGCAGAAATAACTTGGCAGGGTATATACTTCTTGGTTCAGAATTATTTTTTCCTTACAACTCTATAGATACTGTCCCACTGTCTTCTGGCATTTAGAATTGTAAGAAAAAAATCTGGGGTTAATCAGACTTCTGCCTAGATAACCTGCTTTCTCTGGATACTTGCAAACCTTTTTCTTTATCCTTGAAATTTAAAAAAGTCACCATATATATTCAGGTGTTGCTTTCTTTTCATTAATTTTTTTTGTCATTGTTGGGTTTTTTGTTGTTTGTTTGTTTTGGGTTGGGTTTTTATAGGAGGTCTGGGGTGTTTTTGTTTTTGTTTTGTCTTTTTGAGACAAGGTCTCGCTGTGTAGCCCAGGCTGACCTCAAACTAGCGGTGATTCTGCCCCAGCCTCCTGAGTGCAGGGATTGCAGGTGTGTATCACCACACCTGGCCTTTTCATTAAATTATAAAGGCAACCCATGAGACTTCATTTGCAGGCCTACTTCGTACTTCAACTCTAAAAATTTTTCTTCATTTAGTTCCTTAATTCTTGTTTCAGCTTCATTTGTTTTGATTTCTGGATCAGTTATTTTATGACGTGTAGGTTGTATCTCCTGGAAGGCCCTTTACGTCCCTCTTTTTCTCTTCTCTTCACGTCTTAATTTCTTTGGGCTTCTTCTCTGCATTATATGAGAATTTCTCTTTTTTTTGCGTTTACTTCAGCAGTTTTATTTGTGACCAGCCTGTTTACGTGCTTCCTTTAACTTGCTAAAGTCTAAGAACTCTTTCATTTGCTCTAATACCGGCTGCTTTATCACTAAGCACACACTTCTAATAACTTCTCATCTATGAAAATCAATACATCTGTTTCAAGAGAAGGAATTTTCTTGATTACTTAACTCTGTTCTTTTTGTTGTTGTTTGGGTTTTTTTTTTTTTAGTGTTTGTTTTTGAGACAGGGTCTTGCCATGTAATTCAGGCAGGCCTTGAACTCACTGTGTAGCCTAGGCTGCCCTCAAACTCAGGGCGATCCTCCTGCCTCTGTCTCCTGAGTGCTAGGATTGCAGGCATGTGCCACCACACCTGCCTCCTGGTCATTCATTCTTTTCCTCTGCTGACTTCTTCGTCAACCTCAACATTTTGCAACCCCCCTGGATCTTAGTCTCTTGTGAGGCTTCTTTCTATCTTTTGTCTCCCTTCATGCTCTTATCTAGGTCTAAAGCTTTACATACCATCTCTAGATTAGCTTGGTGTGTCCGTGTCTACTCAAGCAAGGCCAGATGCGGCGCACACCTATAATCCCAGCTTTTCAGATGGTGAGGTAGGAGGATCACAGATTCAGGCACGCCAGGGCAACATAAAGAGACCCTGTGTCAAAATTCAAAAGTAGCGAGGTCTCGTGGCACCTGCTTGTGATCCTGGCTCTCGGGGCGGAGGCAGGAGGATTGCCACAAGTTTGAGGCCAGCCTGAACTACATAGTGAGACGCTGTCTCAAAAAAATAGATAAATAAAATGAAATAAAAGAATATAAATAAAATGCACTTCCTGGGTTAAATCCCAGGTACCTCAAAAGAAAAAGAAATTAGAGCAATGAAATATTTGTACAATTATGGGAAACCAAAGGAATGTTTTTCTAAAGAGCCAAAATTAACAACTTGCACACTATAAAACAAATGAGTGCTGTCCGTGTGCTGTAGTCCCTCTCTAGCTCTACTTCTGTTGTTTGGAGTCCCACACCCCCTGGAGTTGTCCTCCCTTCCTGCGTGTCTGGTAAGCGTGGTGCCCCTCTGCCCTTACTCCCTAAAACCTGAAGCTCTTTCTATCCTAATAAAAACATTGCTGTCCACTCATTCAGCGAAGGGAAAGCCTCTGGTGTTGTCCCCGGTCTCTCTCCTTTTGCACCACACATCTGACTAACTGTCAGGTCCCGCAGGCTCGGATTCGGATGTGCGTGTCATCACCGTGACCAGCGTAGACCAGACCAGCTTCGTGTCTCACCTGGACGGCTGCAGGAGCCTCCGCGCTGGCCATGCTGCTCTTTGGCCACCACCCTGCAGCCAAAGCTGTCCTTTAAAAGTGCAGACTGCGCTACGCTTAAACTCGCTTTGGGGACAGCCCCGCTCCCTCCCTCCCCCAGAAGGCCCTCCCTCCATGACCCGGCCCTTCCTGTGTCTTCAGCCTCATTTCTCCGCAGCTCTGGTGCTGCTCACTGGCCAGGGCGATTCATTCAGAGCGCGTGCTCCTGCCTGCCCCACTGCGGGGCACCAGCCTGCCTCAGGTGCTGCTTTGCGCGCTCTGAGCACCGCGTTAGCGCATCATTTCTGTGCACATCGCTTTCTCTTCCCTCGTGGCGCTCTGTGAAATTGTGTCCCTGTGTGGCTGCCTGCTCTCACTGTACTAGAACAGTAGGAAGCTTCATTAGATCCGGGACGTTGTCTTGTTTACCACAATACCCTGGACATGCTAATTAGATACATAGATTAGCTACTAATAAATGTTTCATATCAGCATGACTGAATGAAAGTTAAGGGCATATTATGTGATGAGACAAAAATGTTTTACAGCCAGGACATTGTCATCTAATAGGAAAAGAAATGGCTCAAAAGGGAATAGAAGAGATAGAGTATACATGAATCAAAGCAAAGTTAGCCAGGCCTGATGGTACACACCTGTAATCCCAGCACTCAGGAGGCTGAGACAGGAGGATCACTATGAGTTCAAAGCCAACCTTGGCTACATGAGACCCTGTCTCAGAACAGACCAACCAAAAAACCCCATCAAAGGATTATTAGGGCGTTTGTTGCTGAGTGCAGGAAAACACACTTTACGCCAATGACAGAAAGGTCCTGAAGCAGTACTGTGAAGGGACAGTGAGAGTTCAACCAGAAGTGTAACCTTGGTAGTTAAGTCCTAGAAAAAAGAGAGTGACAGGACTCCGCCACCAGAGCATCCCTCAGCCCCGCACGTCTCCCTCTCGTTCGTCCACTGTGCACCAAGTCTGTGTCTCGCCTGTTCTGAGATGAGTAGAAGGCAAGGAAACAAAAGCAGGACTGGGACGTAGCCCAGAGTTCGGCAAACTAAAACCGGAAGCCAGATCCACCTGCAAGCTGTTTTTATACAGCCCACAAGCAAGGAATGACTTTTACATTTGTAGATTAGAAATTAAATCAAAAGAAAAATAGTATTTCATGGTATGTGAAGATTACTTGAAACTAAAATTGCAATGTCCAGAAGCAAAGGTGTATTGAAGCGCAGCCACCTGTGTGTGGCGTATGGTCTGTGTTAGCTGTCTGTCTGGCCCACAGGTCTGAAAATCTCCACTGCTGTGCCCCAGGCAGGAAAAAAGTCTGCCACCCGCAGGCATGGACCTGGACCCTTGGCAGATGGTTGGTGAGGGAATTGGGCCCTGCCAAAGACTCTTGGGCCTGCTCCTTTTGTGAAGTCATTGTTTTTCTCCTTTTGCAGCAATTCAGTTGAACCCCAGCTACATCAGGGCACTGTTGAGGCGAGCGGAATTGTACGAGAAGATGGACAAACTAGACGAAGCCCTGGAAGACTATACAGCTGTACTAGAGAAGGATCCGTCCGTGCATCAAGCAAGAGAAGCTTGTATGGTAAAACATATATATTAAGTGTTTTTCTTCTACTCTCCTACTCAGTGAATCCTAAATAACCCTCTGGGACGTGACTAAATTCCATGTTTAAGCTTAGCAAAATACATGGGAGCTCAGTCTTTGAAGTGGGGGCTGCAAACGCACTGTGACCATGCGCCGTGTAATAGCCGTTCTGGAAGAGGCAGGTGTAACCCTCAAATCTCCAGGAATGACAAGAAGTGCATCTCACCATTGCTCGGGGGAAATCTTACCCGCTGCAGTTGCTCAGACGAGGCCAAAGTGATTCTTAGCCTTATGGGCGATGCAGTTCCGGTTCCTCTCGTCTTTATCCTCACTCAGTCACCGTCGTATGTCCTGTCACCATGCACTCTGCACGTTTCCAGCTGAACGCGGCCTGAGCCAACCTCACCTTCCTTGTAATGCCTGTTATTGTTGTCCTTGGCACTGCCAATCCTTCTGCTTCCAAACCTCTAATTACTTTTATCTCAGGTGTGATTAACTAAATGTCTGCATAATAAAATGTGTGGACATGGAGTAGTAGGAAACATGCTAATTTTCATAGTTTAAAATATAAAAGCAATTTGAGTGGTGCACGCCAGTAATCCCAACACTTGGGAGACTGAGGCAGGAGGATCCTTGTGAGTTCGAGGCCAGCCTGGGCTACAAAGTGAGCTAAGGCCAGCCTGAACTGCGTAGCGAGACCCTGTCTCAAAAAGACAAAAACAATTTGAAACTAATTTTAATATTTATCAGACTTGTTAACATATCTCTGAATGGAAGTAAGGTTAATTTAAATATGACATGAGGCAAAAGAATAAAGTTCTTAAAATCGGGTCTAAATTATTGGTAGCCATTTTTTTATCAGGTTTTAAGCCTTCTGAGAAAGGAAGAAGGCTTACGGTACCCCTGAGCTACATCCCCAGCCCTTCTATGTTTGTTTTTGTTTTGGTACTCTGAATAGAGTCCCAGGCCTTCATACTGATCTGCACCCCCGTCCTTTTTATTTTTTTGACATAGTGTCTCAGTGAGTCACTAAGTTCCCCGGATTAGCTCAGACTGTGATCTTCCTGCCTCAGCCCCCGCCCCCAAGTGCTGGGTAACAGGTGTGTGCCCCACACACGGCTTCAGGAAATGTTCTGTTTATATTATTTACCACATTTTCCTTGAAGTCCACTTACTCTAGGCATTGTGTTAGGAACTGAGACTATTAACAGTGAACCAGATAAAACTCTTGTAACTTACCCACAAACAAACACAGTACAGTGGTGCCTCGGTTCACAAGCTCAGTTCTTTCCACAATTCCGGTTGCAAACCGAACCAAATTTCCACTTAAGGTCAACATCGAACCTAACCATTCAATTTGATTTGGTTCTCATCCAGTTTAGTTTGAGACCAGAATCATGGAAAGAATCAAATTCATGAATTGAGGTACCATTATATTTATATCTCCAAGCGGATCTTCGTACTTTGGAATTTTTGTTTGTTTGTTTGTTTGTTTTGTCCTTTTGAGACAGGGTCTCACTATGCCATTTAGGCTGGCCTTGAGCTCACTTTGAGCTCAGGCTGGTCTCAAACTCAAAATGATCCTCCTGCCTCAGCCTCCCCCGAGTGCTGGGATGACAGCCATGCAACAGCACGCCCAGCTCTGTACATTGGGTTTTAAAGGTTTCCCAAATTCAAAATAAAGCCAAAGAATTTTTCTGGTTTTTTTTTGGCGGGGGGGGGGGTGGTGTTTTTTTTTCCAGTACCGGGAATCAAACTCATGACCTTGCACTTACCAGGCAGGCTCCGTGCCGCTGAGCTAAATCCCCAGCCCCTGGCAAAGAATTTTTCACCAATCCTTGTTTCTGGCTTTTCCCACAGAGATTACCTAAGCAAATTGAAGAGCGAAATGAAAGGCTAAAAGAGGAGATGTTGGGTAAGTTTGTTCTCCTTTCTTTCTCTTGACCATAAACAGGTAGGAAATGAGGATGGAGGTGTTAGTACTTTTATTTACTAGAAGAGAGCGCAACAGTTCGAGTAGTTTTGAGAGCTTTCCTTTGCAGTGGCGGGTGGGCGGGCGCACCACTTTCTTAGTCATTTTCCTCTAGAAAGAGCACTGTGATTTAGAGAGGGTACCAACATTTTCAGAAGCCAAATTTCCATTGTCTTTCTGGGAATTTTTTACTTTCAGGAATGCAAAGATAATTCAGCTCTCAAGCTGAAATACCACCAAACTCTTCCCATGATTTCATAAGAAGAGTTGCGTTTCCTCACTGAACAACCCTTAAAGTCTTAGGTTCCTGAGGATGCGATCATTAGAGCTGATAAGGTCAGGGAGTTTTTGTTTGAAAAATGGCCCTGAGGTTCCCCTGAGTGTTTGAGAAGACATCAGCGGCCGGAAGTAGGAGTAAATAGTAAGAGACGATAAAGGGAACGAGAGAAATGGATTCCTTCGACCAGTTTTAGTTCTCTTAGTTGCTTGCCAAAGCATTTTATAGTGGGAATCAGAGATCTTCTAATAAACAGGCTGCTTGATTAAAAGGTGTGAGGTTCCTGGACAGAGACCTAACGTATTCTGGTTAAACTGCCTCGTATTTTCCTGCTGCTGTTTTGTTTGTTGTTTGTTTGGTGACAAGGTCTCACTGTGTACCCCACGCTAACTTAAACTCGCAGTGATCCTCCTGCCTCAGCCTCCTAAGTGCTGGGATTACAGGCTTTCACCATCACACCGGGCCAATCCTATTTATGTTTCGTTTTGTTGTTTTTGAGACAGTTCTCTCTCCCTTACTTGCTCGCTTTGTCTCTTTTCATACCACCCTCCCTAGTATTCTTCATTGCACTGTGCAATGGGCAAGATTTTGTGCATCCCTCGTACAGTTCCTTAGAGTTGCTTCTGCCATTAGGAAATACCAATCCTTTCTTCGGTGCCCCGTCTCTTTCGCTCTTGCTACTTTGACAGTTCTTGGTAAGGATTATGTCAGCCTCTCCTTTCATCTCAGAGCAAAAAAAAAGAGAACTTGGGACTGGGAGTTTTATCCTCTCTGTGCTTTGTGTGCTCTTGATTTGCCTTTTCCTCAGAGGAAAGCGAGAGTTAGCTGCATGGCACATTTCCTGCCTCTTCAGAGGAAGCTCAGTATTAGGGTTCCATTGTATGCAGTTTGGTTCCTCTGGGTGGCGGGAACGCCCCAAAGGGGCTATGCAGCTATACTGAAACTGCCGCGCTCTTACGGAGAGGAAAACAAATGGCATTCCTGATTATCCTCCAGGTGAACTGCCCTGTGCAGTAGGAGCCTCCAGAGAGAAAGTGCGCCTAACGAGTCATTTAGGTTACTGTGATCCAGGGCTGCTTGGAGGCAGAGAAATTAGTATTGATCAGAACTGGATCCAGTCTCTAGTTCTGAACAGTGGTCTGAGCACAGCAGTTCGGTGCTGGTCTCTCCCCTCGTCTGGTGCTTAGGGTCCTAGTAGTGGCGGACACGCGGCCGCCTGTGACGGAGGGAAGGCACCGGGTGTGCTGTAAGTGAAAACGAGAGCCCAGCAGTTACTGTCCAGACGGGGAAGGCGTAGAATTTGGCAGCAGATGCAAAGCGTAGCAGGTGGGTTACTTCGCTAAATGGTCCTATGTGGAGTGGAAGGAAGCCGCTTTGGTCTCTGGGCTCCCAGCCTGACTCAGTAAGAGGCAGGAGCATTCGGGAGTGCTGGGGTATCTTGGGGTGTAATCTCCACCGAAGGTCACTGCCTGTTTGCTGCCATCGTCACAGAAAGCGAAAGGTGAATTGTGCAGACCATGCCGTTCGGCTGTGTTCCTTTGCATCCCCTTGGCCATGGTGGTGTCAGGGCTGCTCTGTCCAGCACTGTCAGAATGTTTGTTCACTGAATGAATGGCCTTCTCCCTGATGCTGTGCTAATTTTGTAACTGCCAGAGCCACCCTGGGCCTCCCCTGCTGATCCTTTCCTCCCACTGCCACAGATTATTCACTCAGAAGCTCTGTTCTGAAGGCCTCGGTGGCCTCCTGTGGCATGAGAGCCATAGGCGCCAGGCCTGGCTCAGGAGCGCGGCAGGCTCCGCCCTCCTTCCTACCTCTCCGCCCTCCTTCGTACGGCTCACTGTCCCCACCTGCAAGTCAGTCCTCCTTTCCCTTGGTGCCTAGTTCAGATTAAATCCTGCCTCAAAGACCGCACACGATTCCTGGTCCCTCTGCCCGCCCCACTCCAGCCATCCCCGTAGAAACTGCCCCTCCCCGCCGGCTCCGTAGGAACTTGCTTTTGTGTGTGTGCTCCTGCAAGGCCTCGTGTTCTCGAAGGCAGGCATGTGGCCGCAGAGGGCTGCCTCCCGCTTTGTAATCAGGGAGAACACAAGATCAGTTGGTGTCTTCTTGCTTCTGTTCACCCTGTGTTCATGCGAGTTTTTGCTTTTACTTTGCAGGTAAACTAAAAGACCTTGGGAACTTGGTTCTCCGACCTTTTGGGCTCTCCACAGAAAATTTCCAGATCAAACAAGATTCCTCCACTGGCTCCTACTCCATCAACTTTGTTCAAAATCCAAATAATAATAGATAACAAGATCACAAGTTTTAAAAGAAAGTGTGTACTGCTTGCTGTCCGCAGGGAGCAAGGCCCTGCCAGCGTGCAGCTGTCAGAAGCGTCTTCTCTAAAAGGACAGCTGCCCGCTAGAGCCTAGCACCACCTCTCTGCTCCTGCGCTGTGATCGCTGCGTGTACTTGCAGCACCGTGTGCCGCATTCGGTCTCCATTTCACAGAGCTGCCCATGCAGCTGTTGTCCTGCCCAGCAAGAGGCCTGCCTGTCCAGGTTGGCCTCTGGGCCGCACACAGCCACCATCCTGGAAGAGGGCGCTCTCCCTAAGCAGCAGGCTGGGAGACAGTAGATGGGGTGGCAGGGTCCCCAGAAGCTGCCCGCCTCCCTGGCGCCCCCGCTTTCTGTGTTAATAAAGCTTCGGTGACAGTTTAGCTGGGCGCTGCATTTTGTATCCACCACAGTAGACGAAGCCGACTTCTGTGGCTTTGGGAGGCAATGCTAGTTTCAAGCAGGGCTGCTGATCATGAGTGTAACAAATCTGAGAGTTTTAGTTTCCTTGAAGATTTATCTTGACCACAATGTACTAGAATTCAGAAGTTACATCTTACAAATCATCTCAGGCCCATCGGGCATGGTGGTGCACATCTGTAATCCCAGCACTCAGGAGACTGAGGCAGGAGGATCGCTGAGAGTTTGAGATCAGCCTGGGCTACAAATTGAGCTCAACGGCAGCCTGAACTGCATAGCGAGACCCTGTCTCAAAAAGACCAAAAAAAAAATCAGGCCCATGCAGGTTTGTGCAGATGGTTATGAAACCAGTGGTCTTCACCAGGAATTAGTCCCCTACCCCAGTACTGGGGATTGAACCCACGGGTGCCTGACCACTGAGCTACATCTCCAGCCCTTTTTATTTTTCATTTTATGTCACTGAATTGTCCAACCTCACCTCAAAATTGCAGTCCTCTTGCCTCAGTCTTCTGAGTAGTTGGGATTGCAGGTATATACCACCATACCCAGCAACCAAGCATTGATCTTAATTTCAATTTAAAATTACTTATTCATACCAGGCATAGTGGCACACACCGGTAATCCCAGCACTTGAGAGACTAAGGCAGGAGGACCACTTTGAGGTCAAGGCCACCCTGCGCTATGCAGTGAGTCAGGAACTACATAGTAAGATGCTGGCTCAAAAAACCACAATAAATAATTAAATTGTTTATTGAGGAATGATAATATACATGTCCCAGAACAAAACCAGAGTCTTTTGGATCTCTTGAAGCCAGAGGTTTCAGGGAGTTGTTTTGCTCTGTTTCTTCCTGGTCATGTGTGGTGCTAGTGGAAAGCTTTCAGTCCTGGTTTGGGTGTCACAGGAGTGACTTGCAAGTTTAAGTGGGGAATGAATGACCGTGTGATTCTGTAAATGGCACGCAGTGATTCTGCTCCCACCGGCTGCGGTGGCAGCAAAGTTGTGCTCTTGATCTGCTCCTGGAGCCCCCGCAGCACGTTAGTGGACAGCGTTATGTTAACTCCGATTTGTGACACCGGGCTCTGACTGAAGTATCATTCCTTGGGGTTTACCAGGGAGGCAGAAAGGGCAAGAACGTTGTTCACTTTTCTTCGCCTTCTTGATGTTAAGCCTGGCATCCAGCTTTCCAAAAACTGTGAAAGATCACCCACGTTGTACAGAAACCTTGGCCAAAAGTTGCTGGTGTTAGGTGCTTCCTGTGCAGGCAGCCTTCTGCCGGACCAGTGTTTTTAAAACCGTAATCTTAGGATCCTTCCACAGTCTTGGAAAAAATTAAAGGGTAGGAGATGTAGCTCATTAATATGAATAATTTTGAAAATACCTTCCAGGACAAAGATACCTTTTAGTGAGAGGCCTGATGGCATTTTATAATGTTGCAAACTTTTTTTTCCTTTTGTTTTTTTTTGTGGCCCTAGGTATCAAACCCAGAAGCAGTCTACCACTAAGTTGTTTTTACAGTATGGGGATTAAACCCAGGGCCTTTGCACTGAGCTATATCCTCAACCCTTTTTTTTTTTTTCTTAATTTTGAGGCAGAGTCTTACCCAGTCACCAAGTTACTCAGGGTGGACTCAGATTTTCAGCCTCCCACAGTGCAAGGCTCACAGATGTGCTATCATGCCAGGCTTAGTTTTTTGGAGGGTTTTTGTTATTTAGTGCATGTTTGCAATACAAAAGTTAACACTGTTTTGGTGAGCTGAATTATTTTAAAATTGTATGATAGAGCCTCGGAGGTGCAGCTCAGTGGCACAAGCGCCTGCCTGGCAAGCACAAGGCCCTGAGTTCGATTCCTGGTACAAAAAATAAAATTGTATGATACCTTCTTCCCCCCACCAAAAATCTAGACCAGAATTTACTTTTTGGGGGGCTGGGTAATTACACTCTGTATATAATCTTAATCTAACAACACTGAAATGGATCATACTTTTGTTCTCTTAGAATTGCTGCCAGGCTTGGTGGCACACGCCTATAATCCCAGCACTTGGGAGGCCGAGGCAGGAGGATAGCCATGAGTTCAAAGCCAGCCTGAACTACCTAGCGAGACCCTATCTCAAAAAAAAAAAAAAAAATTGCTGTGAGGACCCTTAAACACATCCTTTATAATAGTTTGATTGCTGTTTCCCTGTGTGCCGCCACCCTGGGTAACTGTTGATCCCCAGCCGTGCCAGGTGAGGTTTCTGGTCTTAGCACCAGCATGGGCTGTTCTACTAGACACTGAGTTGGTACTAAACCTTGCAGAAAAGGTGGCGCTCGATGTGGCCATCCATTACTGTCCAGATTCTGCACCTTTTAATGCCTGTTTTCAAAAATGTCCTGTTTGCTACAACCAGTAGCCATCCCCTGAAGATAATCTCTGTACTTGGTAACACCCATGCCGCTTGGGGAGGCCTCAGAGCCGACTGACGCTACAGAGACTGCAGTGGGTGGCAGTGGACGCTGAATTCATCTCAAGGCCAGGGAATCCACCTGTTTCCCCTGTGTGCTTCCCGGAGTTTCTAATCCCGCTTAGCCACGTGGACTTTCTGCAGCGTGACTGCACCAGGCAGGCACTGCGTGGTTCTGGCGAATGTGTAAGGGTGTAGGGCCAGGCTGGTTTCTCAGCGGTGACTCAGAACACAGCCGTGTTCCTCTGACGCTCGAAATGATCTTCTCCAAGGGCCGCTGTAAGCCAGGGGGGCCCGTCTCAGCCGACAGCATGTCCTAGGACAGCAGGCATGGACCTTCGCCTGTCAGCCTTTGTCTCCTGACTTTGAAGTTCGTTTTTACATCTTTCTTGGATGTATCTTGAGACTTTTAAATACCCCTAACTTGTCCTTTGCTTTCAGCTGCCTCCCCACCTTTACAGCAGATTTCCATCTCATGTCGAGCTTTTGAATCTTTATTTCGCATGAACAGCTTTTCTGTTGGCTGGAGCTACTGCAGAAAGTTCAACCAGAAAATTGAATTACTATAGCAAATTCACACTGCGGCTGCCTGTGTGAAGTGCGCTGTTGGATAGCTCATTTTACATCATGGATCTAAGCTATCATTAAATTCACGTACTTTTTTGTTGTCTTTTTGAGACAGGGTCTCGCTATGCAGTTCAGGCTGGCCTTGAGCTCACCTTATAGCCCAGGCTGGTCTCAAACTCAATGATCCCCCTGCCTCAGCCTCCCGAATGCTGGGATCACAGGTGTGCATCACCACGCCTGACCTCACATACTGTTCTTAAAACATCAGTGGGGCAGAAGGGAGGGCTGAGAATGAAACCCAGGGCCTCACACATACCCAGGTACATCCCCAGCACTTACGAGGCAAAGGTGGAAGGATTGCTGGGAGTCTGAGGCCAACCTGGGCCAATCTGAACTCCACTGTGAGACCCTGTGTCAAAAAAAGAAAAAAACCTGAAAGGACAATTGTATCAGGAAGAAAAGCAGGAAATCCCTTTTATCTGAAGTATTTACAATGACAAAGAGGCACTTGTACAACTCCTACATGATTCCAAAGCATGAATCAGAAATTACACTTCCATGCCAGGCATGGTGATGCACACCTGTAACCCCAGCACTCGGGAGTCTGAGGCAACAGGATCGCCAGTAGTTCAAAAGGCCAGCCTGAACTGCGTAGCGAGATGGTCTTACAAACCCAAAAAAGAGAAAAAGAAATACTTCCTTATCTGAAGACCAGTGTCAGTACTTTAAGCTGTACTCAAGCGTCTCTTCCACCAAGTGTTCCCTGCATCCTGCAGCTGTGCCTGCACACGGGCACCCGGTACGCGTCGTCCCGTCGGGAGTGGGCTGCAAACCCTCCCGCAGGCAGCACGGGGCTTACTCTCCTGGCTTCTCTCTAGTCCCTTTATCAGTGGAAAACCTGAGGAAGAGAAAGTGTCAGAACTAGCTTCCAGTGGCCGCCATTGTACACTGAGACAAAAGTGAGATGGAAGAATGTCTGAAGTTAAAGACTCCAAAACACAGGCAGCCTTCTAAAGGGCTGCTTCGGGGGAGTGAAGGGGAGGGATACACAGACCTAAATTTCTAGCTAAGTTCAAAAATCTCAGTTGTCTGACAGGTTTCAGGGGCTCGTGTTTTTCCTATTACAATCAAGTGTTTCTGTTTCTCAGATAAAATGGTTGCCTTCCTCTCAGACAGTGTTTTAAAGCGGCAGCTATTTACCCGTAAGGGTAGAACTCCTTAAAGTTACAGCAAAATAAACCACCAGGAGATGTCTGATCATATCCAACTGCTGAGGGGCAGGTTGTTTCCGTCGGAGAAGCGCTTGCGTTGGGCGCAGGGTTCTGACTAAACTGCTCGCCCTCCACCCTCACCCTGCAGAGGGCCCAGGACGCCTCCTAGTGAGCAGAAACCTGCAGTCTGCTCTTAGGAAGCACCGCTGCTCCAAACGGCTCCCTCGGGTAAGGATTTAACCGTTAATTACGGCATGATAACATTTAAGAACTGACTTCTCAAGAAAAGAAATAAAAACTCCTAAGAACAAATGAAAAACTAACTCCTACAAAGTAAAACCATTTTTAAGTAACTGAATTTTAAAAAAATCAAAGACTTTATTGGATAAATGTTACACAACATTCTTCAACATGTAACTCTGAGCATACTTAGGATGAGAAACAACTTTTGTCATTCAAGTCTACAAAATGAAATAGGCTCGTGAAGATTTGAAGTACAGACAAAAGGTAGCATGAAGCAAAGCTTAAATATTAAGCAACTAAAGCAACAGAAGTAAAATAACATGGTAGGTCTAGATTTCAAATACCAAGTTTCATTTTTTAAAAAATGGATATATGGTTTGTAACAAAACGCCATTGAGAATTTGCCATGAGAAAAAAATAGATATTTAAAACCTGATCTCTCCCAATTCTTTTGCCTTTATACTATTATTTCTCAGTTATTTCCATCACTCTACACAAATAAAGAATTCTAAAGCTTAATGTAAAACTTCATCCTGCAGTCCATGTGTAATTCCACCATGGCTTGGGAGTTAAGAGTTCTTGAAGTGAGCCTGGAAGGTACTGCTGGTGTTAGGCGTCTGACACACGAGACCGACCGCCGGCCGGCCGAGTCCTCGGCCGTCAAGGAGCGGGCCCGACAGCACAGCCACCACAACTCCCTGCTGCTGGAGTTCCTGAGCTGACCGTTTCCAATCTGACAAAATATATACTTCATGATACGGCGTTTTCTAAAAAGACAATTTTTGAATGCATCAAACCTTTTCTCCCACTTGCCGTGTAAGTTTAATTTACATTAGGCTCACTAGATTCAAGGCTGCTTGCCTTTTCTTCTTGAGTTGTAAAACACACCCATAGCTACCGTACATGTCCTGCAGCTCACCCAGAACCTTGTTAGTCCTGAGCACAGGGCTATCGGGTAACTTCATACCCATCTGGGAGATCGCGGACGGTCTGAACACCGGAGCGCAGCGCTCAGTTACCTGTTGCTTCAAATGAATTTGTAGTTTTTCATTTTTTGGCATTTTTTTTTTCTTTTTTGTAATAAGTAATCAATATGGAATTTTTCTGGTTTAAAAAATACATCAGTATTGCCACTAAAAAACTTCAGTTTTATTATTAAAAGTACGGCACCATCAAATATAAAATGCCTTAAAAATGTACTACTAACAGGTCCATCTGGTTTGCTTGTGTTTTCTCCGTTCATTAAAAAAGAAAAATTACAGTTTTTCATATATGTACTTAGCAAAGATAAGAAAAAGTAGGGTCTCTATTAGGAATTCTTGTTCGATGCACAAAAAGTACAGGCTGTCGTTACGGGTCGGTTCTATGCAGAAAAGGTCCACATCAGAGGTCTGCTGCTGCACCTTTTCCGAACACGGTAAAGCAGGAAGGACAGAGACGATCGTGAGAGTTTTTCCAGCTCAGTAGAATTAAGAACTAGCTCTTGGAGTATACATTTCCACTCCAAGATCAACACTAGCCTATTCACTTGGAGTCAAAATATGAAAGGGAAGAATGTAGTTATGAAAATGTGCACAAAATGTTAAATACTAGTGGCAAATAAATACATCTTAATATGTTCTAACAAGCAAACATATATTCAAGATAATACAGCCCTGCTTTATTGAACAAACAAAAGAGCCAGATTGTGTGGGGGGGAGGGCTGGGGCACTGGCATCCTTTCAGCAGGACGTAAGGTAATGCTTGTGCCGGCAAAGGAGGAAACGCTGGCCGCGGCCTACGCGACTATTGCTGTTTCACAGGAGACCGTTTGGGAAATACCTTCACTCATTTCTAGACTGCTTGACACAAACGAAAGCTGAAGTATGGAAACTACTTCACTTCCGCACCACCCATGCCTTAGAGGCGTGTCCAGCTTGTACTGCAATCATTTCACATTCACAAGAAGTTACTGTCAGTGATTCTTCATACGTTCACTCAGGTGAGTTCTCCGGCTGTGTGTTCGCATCACTGTTCTCCTCACCCAAGCATAACTTATTGCGATAGTTTATTTATAAAATTTGCCCTAATACCTCTGTCTGGTTTGGTAAGGTCTGCAAGTGCCCCTTGACAGACTGTCGCTTCTGACCACTGCCTTAACGTTTACTTCTCAGTGCAGCTTTAAGGGTCTCCAATTTCATTCAGTCCTGACGCTCTGTTGTTCTGTCGCTGTGGCACAGGTCCGTGAGACCAGCAGCCTGCTAATGTCTCTGTGCTGAAATATAGTAAAGAAAAGAAACGGGGTTAAACACAAGTTATTATATGAGGAAAAAGTAGTCCTTGTTTAAATTAAGCCCTACCTAGATTGTGAGATCACACCTGATTTTTTCTTTTAAATCAAACTTCACCAGGGGAACGGGTGTTTTATTTTTGTCTTTCATTTCAGAAAACAGCTTACTGCCACTCTAAACCAACCACAGCATTTGTTTTATTTCTGAAGTATAACTGGCCAAATTCCAATACAAGTAAAATGCTAACGCTTTCACATCTGAGTCTTTTTAAATGGATATTTATTTTTGCCTAATAACTAGGGAAATTTAATTTTGTCCTTTGTTTTTATTTCTTTTGTTCCCCTCTTTTTTGAGACAAGGTTTTGCCAAGTAGCCCAGGCTGGCCTTGAACTTGCGATCCTCCTGCTTCTGCTTTCCAAATGCGGGGATTACCGCTGTGTGCCACAGTGCCAAGCACCTCGTATCAGTTGTCCTTTCGTAACAGTAAGTCAGGGTGGCTAGTGTAGGCTGCAAGGAAACACCGCTCTTCCTATGAGCTCTGTACTTTTTGTTGTTCTGGGTTTGGTTTGGTTTGGTTTTCTGAGACAGGATCTCACTATGTAGTTCTAAAAGCATGGAATTCTTGGTGATCCTCCTACCCCAGCCTCCTGAGTGCTGGGATTACAGGTGTGCCGCACCATGCCCGACTAGCCTATAATTTTAAGAAGCAAATTTATATACAGAAGCAGCTATGTAAAAATCTGATACCCGCCAAAGTCTACATATGCCTAGGAGCAAAAAAAGCGGGGGTGGGGGGGGTGGGGGGCAGCAGAGCTTGGATCCCTTGGGGCACTGATGTGTAGACCCTGCACATCAGAAGCCAGCAAGAACACCACTTTGACTAGAACACAACTTACGTACTGGTCAGATTGACCGCGGTGTCCCTTGTTTACCAGCAAACCTGATCATCAGAATACTCTTCGCTGTACTTTCAACAAAAAGCAAGGGGCTGGGGATTTAGCTCAGTGGCAAAAGCGCCTGCCTGGCAAGCGCAAGGTCATGAGTTCGGTTCCTGGTACCGGAGAAAAACCAAAAAAAAAAAAAGCAGGACTCTAAGCACATACTGCCAAGCAGCACAACTGCAGCACCTGTACCACCAACCCTTGGTTATACCTCTCAGTTTGGGACCCAGTACAAACACAAGTTTAAATTCCATGGGGTTTTGATTAAACCCATTTGTAAACCAAAGATATGATATCACAGTGGGCTATTAACACACAAAACAACAGGACACAGAAGAGGAAAAAAAACCACCCCATTGTTCCCAATATCTAACTTTCAAACATTCCAAAGTAGATCTTCCCCAGGACTTGACAGAACTCTCAATTTCATGCTAACTTCCAGCACTGCCACATTATGTTCGCTTCCTGGATCAAGGCCTATGAAATAAGTCCCCAGGACATTCTCACACACTTCTTTTCAGTGAACAATGGCTTCTAGCCATAAAGGCTGCACATAGCACTGTGAAAGGTGAACGGAGAAAAGGGATGATTCACACTTTTATACTGAATATTGAGAGACATTTTTACTTTCTAAAAGCAAGATACTGAACTAAGACTAAGAGGACTGCAGCACTAATCAATGTAGACGCACACAGAACTTTGGAAGCAAATTATTTCCGTTTTATAAACTGAGGGAGAAAAAAAGAACAATACCATTAAATGAATTTCATTTCCTTCTATTTAAAGCTCTAAACTTTAATGAGGCCTATTCAAATTCAGTTGAAGACCAGAGCAGGAAAGCCACGTAGTCCTATGAGATGCACAGAAAACTAAAAACAGCATTCCCTTGCGATCACCTTACAGAAGCTACCACCCCTATACAGGTAAATCCAGCCCCAACCTCTGATCCAAAATCGGCCATCCTGTCCCAGCCTGCAAAGTACAGCTTATGTGCAATGATTCGGCTCCTCTGCACACAAACACAAGGTTGTATCAGCCCTTCACCTATCACAGAAGAAAGGTTAAACACTTTCATCTTTTATTAAGGAAGCAATACAGATTGTTAGTGCAAAAGGGGTGTGACAACAGAATCCTTGAGCCTTTTCCAGCCCCTGTCGGAGTCCAAAGTAAGCTGCTAAATTCAATTCCCCGTACCAAAAAAAAAAAAAAGTAAGCCTGCTAGGGATTATCGAAGGAGTCAATTAAAAAAAAAAAGTGCTTAAATAAATAAATTACAACTATATTTCAGTATTATTTTTTACCACCCTCTGGAGCCTTATGTTAATGGCAATGCTTTGAGGTTAATTCAGTAAGAATATATGAAATACATATGCATTCACAGATATAGTGACGGCTCGGTTCACAAACTCAATTCTCTCCCAATCCAGGTCACGAACCAAACTGGACAGAACCGAATCAAATTTCCCCATACGGTCAACACTGCACCTAACCGTTCAATTTGATTCGGTGCTTGTCCAACTCAGTCTGCAACCAGAACCATGGAAAGAATAAAGCCCCTGAGCTGAGGGACCACTGTATTCTCATACACACGTAAAAAGTAATGACTAACAAGTGAATGGATGTAACAGTGACCAGATACAGAAATCTAGTGTCTGACCTCACGGAGACTGGCTGCTACTGTTGACGACTCTGCAATGCAATGCCCAACTTCCACCACCCTAGGACAACCGCTCTGAATTCCTGGAAACGCAGAAGACGCTCTGCTTTTGCAGCACAGCAGGCAGTACCCACTGAAAGCTGTTTGCACTTGTAAGAACGATCACCTACATGATGTACATCCCGCCACCAAGGCCAAGGACAACTAAAGAAAAGCAAGGAAGGCACTCCTTGGGGTCTAGCCTCATCTACTTCAGCGACGACTGAGCGGTAAAGGACGCCCTCTTCACTTCGTGGCAGGGCTTAAAGCAGACAGACCTGCCCGGCTCACTGTTAACTTCAATGCTCCCAGTCTGAATCCACAGTGGTCTGTCAGACACTGCAAGGGAGCAGCAGGACTCGTCACTGTCTGATGTAATAGCTGCCATTTGTTGAGACCTATGGTAGAAAAAACCAAGTTAACAAAAACAGAGCAGTCATTTGAGTTCTTTTTAATCCACTTTACCAAAAAGAAAGTAATTTGAAAGTAAGACCAAACTTGAGGAGACTCTCCATGACTTTATTCTAAGTAACTTGAGAGCTCCACAGAACAAGAAGCTTCAGCAGTAAGTACTAAGGAGAACTAAGTACCAGGGAGACCGAGAGCCATGTGAGTACCAGCTGTGGCCAGGAGAGGGCGCTCTGTGGCCCGGCTCAGATCAGCTACAAAATGCCAGTGCTCACCAAGATGCTGCCCTCCGACAAACTTACAAGCAGAAAGGTAAATACTAACTCACATTCAGTGCTTCCGGCCAATACAAAAAAATGTTGGCTATCTAGCAGCAGCCTGGAGGCGGAGCTGCCGGACCTTCATAACCTGGAGCACCGGGCTGTGGGGCCCACCCACATTCCATCGGTCCGCCCAGTGCCTGTCTCCCTTCATCTGGATGAGCCTGCGCACGCACGAGGACCTACCCTTCTCACTGTGTGCGGACGCTGGTGGCTGACGTAACAGTCATGACAAGAGAAGCGTTCTCACTTAGGGTTTCCGAACAAAGATGTAAAATACGAAGCGTAATTTAATTGAAGGATTGCTATCTGAAGCCCTATTTAAGCCATATTATTTGCTTCCTTCCCTAGTTTAAGTATGACTTCACCTGTCACCTCAGTGTACTCAATGGTAGGATCACTAATTTAGATAATTTTCAGTCCGTATAACTGTATAGTACTTTAAAATTCTAAATCAGAAGGAACTGCACACAGCCAGGCGTGGTGGCGCCCGCCTGTAATCCCAGCATTTGGGAAGCTGAGGCAGGCGGATCGTTCCAAGTTCAAGGCCAGCCTGAACTGCATAGAGAGACCCTGTCTCAAAAAGACAAAAAAAAAAAAAGAAATAGCATACAATAAAAACTTAAAAAGGCTTTTATGACACTGACATCTTGGCCGGGGATTTAGCTCAGCAGCACAGCGCCTGCCCGGCAAGCGCAAGGTTGTGAGTTCGATTCCTGGTACCAGGAAAAAAAAAAAAAAAAAACCCCAAGAGACACTGAAATCTTGCCTGACTGATAATACAAGCATAATTATTTCTGAATTCCAATCAAGAGCAAACCAATTTTTAAATGAAGCCTAATACTGTAGTTATTTATGAAGAAAACATAAACATACTCTTAACTAGAACTCACTGCAATCACACAAGAACAAAGGAATCTGAAGGTAGAATAAATTTGTCTTTCAGAGAACTCTCCTCTAAGTAAAACTGTTGTTTCAACTACATTCTGAAGACTCTGCTTTTTGCTCTGAAGCAAGAATGAAGACAATGCAAAAAAAAAAAAAAAAAAAGAAGGATCTCACCTCTTCCTAAACGCTCCCCCACACGATGCCATGAAAAAGGCCCACTAACCGCTAACGTCTGAGACAAGCTTCCCCTCAAGGCTTCCAGGATCTGCAAGTTCTCTCTAGGCATTTCCCACCCCATTGGAGATCCACTAGGAAGAGCAGGGCGCCCTGGCACGACTCAGGAAACGAGGGACACCCATGAAAAGGCGGCAGTTTCACTGGAGTCATTTATTTTGTTCTTTAAGAGAAAGCTTACACCAGGCATGGTGGCACACCCCTGGAACCCCAACACCGAGATCCGCCTGGGCTACAAAGTAAGCTCAAGGCCAGCTTGAACTGCATAGCAAGACCTTGTCTCAAAAAGACAAAAGAGAAAGCTTAAGCACAACAGCAGCACTATTCCGGGGAGGCAGCAGAGGTCTAAAACACAAGCGCAAGGTTGTGAGTTCGGTAAGTCTCCCTTGCAGAGGAATGAAAGGAAACAGGAGCAGTCACATGCTTAGTGCAAAACCTAGAATTAAAAACTAAGATCAGGGGCTGGGGATTTAGCTCAGCAGCAAAAGCGCCTGCCTGGCAAGCGCAAGGTCGTGAGTTCGGTTCCTGGTACCAGAGAAAAACCAAAAAAATAAAATAAAAAACTAAGATCATACATCTGTACCTAGTACGTCACCAAATAATATCACCGGCCTTAACAATCTACTACAGAACGTTTACCAGGAAGAAATGTACAAACAGTACCTCGGCTGCAGCATATATTCTCCTTTCTAACCTTAGTGCTACTGCTCTACCAGGTATGTCCCTCTTTTAGGCAAAGTGCACACAGTTCTTCCCGGCACATCAGGACTCACACCAAGAGGCGCCTTTTCCAGCCAGATTCCTTGCTAGAACTATCGCAGGAATCCTAAGTTTATCGTCAATGGCATCTCAAAATGAGCCATCAGTAAAAATGACTACCCTCTGAAAAATGGGCTGAACACACACAGAGCAGGGCCTTGAGATGTCAGGCGCTTCCCTAATATGAAGCAGAAACCGCCCACTCAAACACGACAGGGGCAATAAAATAACATTCAAATCACTACTTTTTATGACTGGCCAAAACATTAAATAAGAAAAGCAGAGTCCCAGGGGAACACAGTAGGGGGGATGGCCGTTTCACTTGAAAGCTCACAGAGCGGCTCTGCTGTTCCAGTGCCCCTCTCCCAAGGGAGCCATATGCACCAGGCACCAGCTCGGTCCTCCCTGGTCCCCAAGGTGCCCTCCACCCTCCTCACAAGCAGATGGCACCTTCCCCCGCGCCAGGCCCTGCACTTCCGAGTACACGAGAGCTCTGCAGAGCACCACGTACATGCGTGCTCAAGAGCTCAAACAGGTTTCTGCTGTTCTGGTTTGTTTTGTTTGTTCGGTTTGGTTTTTGTGGTCCTGGGGACTGAACCCAGGTCCTTCATACTGAGCTACATCCCCAGAGCTCTTTTTATTCTGAGACAGGATCGCACTAAGTAGTAAAGCCGTGTAACGGCTGGTGGTCTCAAACTTGGGTCCTTCTGCCTCAGCCTCCCGGAATGCTGGGTTACAGGCGTGCACCGCCAGGCCCAGGTGAAATGTTCATGTGATTTCAGTGTGAGGTTATGAGTTATTCAGTCTCCCTTCACCATCATCTCCACGCCATCCAACCCGTTCCCCTTCACAAGAGCCAGTCAAAACCACTGAATTCACTGCCCTTCTAGGGAGTTGTGAAGAATTGGTGTGGTTTCTATAATAATCATGCCCTAACACTGCAACCTAAATAATTCCTCTCATCTATGTGAGTGAGACTCCTCTGCTATACACACATGGGCAGCAGTGATCCCAAGCAGGTACTCAAGTCTGTGCCGAGCACACCAGGGACCTTCAAGGAGGGACTGTGGCCCTCCACTTCTTCCACTTCACAGGCGGTGACACCGAGGCAACCTAAGATCACTGGCTCGAGGACGGCTCGCTCGGGAGCTGTACTTCCAACCTCGAGCCTCCGTGAGAGAATGAGTCTTCCCTCAGTGGGAGCTGGCTGGCAAGGACTGAGGACACAGATTTGTCAACGCCTGCACTCCCTGCAACACTGACAAGCCGCCCTCCCGCAAGCCCCTCCCCGGGCCTGGGAACCAGCCCAGGGCCTTCACTCTGAGCTACACCCAGGACGCTCTGGTGGCTGCGGTGGGGAGACAAGATCCCCTAAGTCACTGAGCGGCCCATGCTGGGCTCACATTTGTAAACCTCCTGCCTCAGCTTCCCTGAATGCCCTGCTTTAGGTATCCACATTGACCTTTTCGTACTCAACTGGGTGATGTTCTCACATTTCTACGAAGACAATGCAGGCAGCCCAGACAACCAGAAACTTCTATTGTATTTTACCTGAGGGAGACACTGTAATTCTTATAGGATTTTTAATACCTTTGTTTTTCTTTCCTAATAGTAAGGATTAAACCAAAGGCCTTCACACTGAGTTACACTGGCAGCCCTTTAAGACAGGGCCTTGCTAATTATCCATAAATTTCCCAGGCTGGGTTTAAAGTTGCAGTCCTCATGCCTCAGACACCTAGGGTCCTGGGGTTGCAGGCCTGGGCTACCAGGAGAGCTTTCAGTAGGTTTTAAGTGAATCTCCGTGCTCAACAGAACTAAGGAAAGGACATGGAAGGTTACAAAATTATCTCAGTTTAAAGCAAAAAGCCCTTACTAAAACTTGCTGTGCATTTTTTTTCCATTTTCAAGGAAAGGAAAAAAAGCGTAACCACAAAAGCCTACAATGTCAGCGATGAAAAATTTGGCTTTCCTTCTACATACTGACACCAGGGTAGAAAAAACTGAGTTTTACTCATGGTTTCTGGTTAAGACTCAGACTTCTGAGGAATATGAGGAGGAAACTGTCATTCTTGCATTTTTATGATGAAGGGAAAATTTTACACAGATGACTATAATTGCAACCTTAAAAAAAAATAAGATCTTACAAAATAATCAGGTTTTTGAACAAAAATACTTAATTCACATTTAAACCAAGTTTTAAGACTGGTCTGTACTTAACATCAAACCTTTATAAAACTGACAAAAAAGATATGTTCAAAGGGGGACGGTTCTGAAGTCAGGCAACATGTGCTATGTGCTATTCTAGGTTTCTCGCCTGAAAAATGAAAATACGATGCAGAAATGTAGTACTTGACAGTGCATCTCTTTTTCCCTTACGCCTCCCCTGGAATGATGGTAATTTATGGGAAAAACTTAAGTTCATCAATGGAACTTTTCAGAGATTAAGGGCGTGAGAACCAGAGTCAAGGCCTGGTGCAGTGGGCAGCCCTGTCAGCCCAGCACCCTGGGAGCAGGACGCAGGAGGGGCTCCAGGTCAAGCCAGATCTAGGCAATTTAGCAAGACCCTGTCTCAAAATAAATTTAAAAGGGCTGGGGATGTAGCTCAGTGCAAAGCCCTGGGGTGAGTCCCCAGCACAAAAAAAGTGGGGGTTTCAAGTACACAGCACATTATTACAGAACTATGACCAAAACTATGATGGAATGTACATAACTTGAGTTTTAGCTGGTAACTTAATTAAACCATTTAAAATAATTAAAATGGTTTCTATATTCATAAATGGCAAAAACAA